ATATTTTTTTTTTCATTTTCTAACGAGCATTACAAGTTCCCTTTATGAGTTAAGCAACCAAATGTTGATTGATGTCTGTATACGCGCGTCTGTAGAGTTTCCTTGAATCCCACCCTCAAGCATGAAGAAAAAATAGCCTGCCTTCGTGAATTCTGTACTTAGGCATAAAGGGGAAGATAGGCACTCTTAATGGAGCGACGCTCTAGTTCTCTTTATGCTAACCACGAAGATGTATAGTGTAACTGATTGGCTTACAGTAAACCTTCAAACTAGCGAAATACAACCACAATTAAACTCCATCTAATTTAACGAAAACAATAAGATAATTAATTAGGCCATTTTGAAAAATAAAGTTCTCTGAAGGTTAACTACAGAATTTACGCTGTAGTTAATGTGTTATAGGTTGTAACAACTGTATTGAGTAAAAAAATTCTTCCGAATAAAAATATCTTTCGTTTGACATTAGGAATTTGTGATACAAAATGATAGGCTATTTCAAGTGTTATATTGTCAGCACGGGCCCTGAACCTCCTAATTTTTTTCAAAATTATTTAAAAAAAATTGGAGAAAACAGACAAAATTGTATTCAACTTTTAATCTGAGAGTGCCATTTCCGGCCATCTGGAGGTGCCATAACCATAATTTTTCCTACCTCAGCCCCAAAAGTTGTGCGGATAGGTGGGTGGACATTTTATTTGCGCAAACCCTGCCTGGGTCCCCTCTATTTCGACTTCCACCCGCCACAGTTGGAGTATCATTTCCGGGTTACATAGAGGGGTAAATTTTATCCATCGGAGGAAAAGTGAAATTGTAGTCGGGAAACCCATATCAAGGATAACCCTTATGATAAATAATTCATTGAGATCGTGGAAGCAATCTCGACTTCGACTTTGTTTTGAAATCTGTGACGCATTCAAGGGCGGGGGATAAATTGTTCAATTTTTTTTTAAATGGAGATATAATGAAAATTATATTCAAATATAAGTTTAAGAGTGAAATTTCCCGCAATCTAGAGGTGCCATAATCACAAATTTTCTTCTATCTGTGAACGTATCCTCCATGGACCCTTCTATTTCGAATTCCTGGATCCGCCACTGGAAATTACAACAAATATGTCATATTACATGTACAGTAGCTTGATGCCTATAAAATGGTTTATAAAATTCACCAAACGTAAAATAAAAATTGGTAAAATATCCGTAGATCCCCACCGGGGCTCTAGACGGCCCCCTGGCCCCAGCCTAGATGCTCGCTTCGCTCGATAATTTTGGACCTCATGAAATGCCCCCCCCCCCCCCTCAAAAACGTTCCGCCGCCGTTGTGTGGTATTAGAATTCGTCCTTATACAAGTGATAAGATAATAATGCCAGTGTGAACATACTGGACGTAGGTTATTTGAAGTAAATTATCTTATGAAATATATCTGGGATATACATATTTTATGATATATCACATACAAAACCT